GAAGAATTGTTGTGGAATTGTAACGGTCTCTTCTCGACACCGCATCGGCGCGTTCTCTAGACTGTACTCGTAAGTGTTTTGTCCTCAAACTATGGAAGATTATACACGTTGGTACGGGCGGATCGAGCGAACCAATATTTACGCGAATCTCGAGCGAGAAGGTGGCTCGCGGTAGAATCGATCGAAAGGGAAAAGTCGGGAATCGGATCAAGTCCATCGCTGGTAAACGGTCGACCGGCTGACCAACCACGGATACGCCTGCTGGTTGTTCGCTTGCCACAAGCCAGGTCGTGCACGCTGGGTCAGGAGAGAGTCAGTCATACCGACGCCGTGCTACCATTCGCGTCACTCATTGGCCGAATCCTGGCGGAGGTTTCCTCTTGAAGGTACGCGAGTCGACCGCGCAAAGCTGATCCGACCTGATCTGCGGGAATCAGAAGTTTACGGAGGTTCCCGAGAAATCTGCGCCGCCGATCCACCTTTCCGTGGACGCCACGCACGTGCCTTAATCCAGCCGATAATACGCCGATTTCTCTGTCAGGTGTGACCACGGGTAGGTAGACTACCGCGCCGCGTCGCTTTCGGAGACTCTTATCGAAAAGTGAGATTGGTGTTGGTACGAGTGTTGATCATGGTGTTTTTGTACGTTGATTCGATAGGTCACAGGTGTGTGTGTGTGTGTGTGTGTGTGTGTGTGTGTGTGTGTGTGTGTGTGTAGAGTACTGGAAATTAGAAGTATCGTTTGTTCATTCGTTGAAGTGAAGAATGTTCGTTGAGAATGATATTTTCGATGAAAACAGTGTGTGTTGTTTTGAAAAGAATTTTCTCATTGTCTACCCAGTATCGCAGTTGATTTTACGGTGATTCTAGTGTGTGTGTGTGTCATGTGCCGGTTCCGCAGATTCTATAGACTAAACGATCATACGAATGTTGGGATATTCTTTCCAAAAGGAGAAAAATTACACTCGAATAGTGATACCTGCATGACACAGGGTCTTGAAAACTAAAAATCTTGGTCTATTCGATCCTATGTTGGACAGTTATTTGAAAGTTACTTGGAATTAATTGGACGCTGGATAGTCTTCCCTGTAGGTGGCGCTGCGTTCATTCAAATATTGTAGGATTCATTGCATTTAGTCTGATGTTTGCAAGCGTTTCAGCTCAAAAAGTGTTTTTCGCAAGCAGTTAGAAGTTTCAATTGATTCCGTAGATAGCGCTGCAATTACTTAAGTGGTTACTTGGAAATCGTTAAGAACAGTGAAATTTTGCCTATCTTATTACCTTCTTCGAAAGAATTAAAACTCGGAGGATGCGGCAAACTTTAAAACACCATTCCCGTAGGATTCTCAAACTGCCCACGTACATAACTTTCCGAGATATGTATTACTTAGAAGTGTTTACTCGAGACGTTGCTTCGCTTATACATATTGTTTCTTCAGAATCATCGGATCCCGTTTTCGAGGAATTTCGAAAAGTTTACGGTATAGGAAAAGTAGCCAAAGTGTTTAATACGAGTGAAGTCGACGTAACAAAAATGTATGGACAAACCCTCGAAATTTTACATATGTCTAGTAACTTCTTGGACCACAGTAATAATAGCCAGATGAAACACTATTCATCTTAAAAGCTTCAGATCCTTATATCTGATGTGCGTTTTCTAAATTCTGCAAACCGCGAGATAAAAAACTATTCTAGAAATAAGCGATCTACGGTGGTACAGTAGATCGTCAAGTTCTGGGGCGGTACCATGAAATTCAGTACACCCCTGTGCAGGCCTGCAGTGCACGACGGCTCGTGTGTAACAGTTTGGATCGTCGGTTCAAGGTTAGGCGGGCGCTGATCGATCTCGAAATTCGCTGGATCGGGTGCAAGAGTACGCGGTGCACTCGGAATCGAGGTTAGCGTGCCGACGAAACTCTGTGGACCCTTTCTTCCTTTTCTGGTATTGACCGGGTGCTCGTGGCGTGCTACGCTGCTGCCATCTTTCGGAGGGTTGTTTCACTGCTCAGGCAAATAAGTTTGTGAGGGGGTATGGGGGGTGGTTGGCGGAGATGCGTCTGTCGGTGGTGCGATTTACGAGGTCGTTCCTACGCGAAAAAATTTAGGCGAGACTGTCCGTGATTTCGAGTACAGCGAAATTTTGCTACGTTGAGAAAGGAACGTCGACAATGTCCAACGAAGGGTACAACGGTGTCTCGCGTGTCTTTGTTGAAATCTGTCGTAACGACGGAAACTGTTTGTCCCGTGGACACGACGGTGAACGAACTTTATGAATGTAAACACAGAAAGCGGTTACTCGGCCATTCGTCTTCGCATCGTACATATGTACCTGCAAGCGAACTCGAGACTGGACGATCGCCAACTCGATCAACACGGCAAGGCTCGAGCACGTGGCGAAACCGCTGCGCTGGCTGGTTCAGTTCGCACCCTTTGACGGTGTGTCAGCCACGATCACTTTCATCGCAACGCGTCCTTTCCTCGACCGCGACCGCCGTTCGCGATTCTTCTCCGATGCAATCGTCCCGAGTAAAGGGACCACTTCATCGTTGCGGAACTCCTTCGAACACATTCGAGCCGCGATGTCGGTTACCGGTGCTGGATCGCTCGAAGCGCTTCTGTTGTGCATACAATCGGACGTGTCCCGCGACTGATTCTGTACAGATCCCTAGGATGTACCTACTTACTGGTTGATTAACGAGGACATCGCTTAGGATATCGTCGATTGTACCTACTGTTTGTAGTTGACAATAAGGATATCGAATGATATTGTTAGCGGGCTGGAACTTTCGGTTAAATTGTCTGTAAATTGGTAGCTCCGATTTCTCCTTCGATGATTGATTACATATACAATACACGCATTATCTTCGTTAGCCTCAGGTACTTTGTCTATTGTGCACTGCAGTAAAGAAGTAATATGGTGTAAAGATCTTGCGTCTGAATGAAAAACATCCGTATGTTGGTTAATCTCGTAGGAAAGAAGTAGCTGTCAAACAATGAATAGTCAATAGTGATTGGTTCGTAATTCGGGTGGTTCGGTGGCTTGCACCTATGCATATATGCAACCGTCTCGTGTCTTCTTCTCGGTGTCGCCACCACGTGGCACTTTCCGGAACTCGATATATTTTCGTTCGGGGGTGGTGTGGAGGCCGAGGATGGCGTGGACGGCGAGTAATCGCTTGGTCGTGTGACTGCGTGAGGCTAGGTATAAATGAGTGTACGAGTTGGTCCGCGTCTCGCTTCTCTCTGGTCCGTTCGCATATGTAACGATGAAACTACTTCAATCATCTCTGGATAGAGGAATCGAACATTCCGTACACCGTTTGAATTTTCCCAAGATTTCCCGCGTTCGCAAATATTTAACTTTTCATTTTCTTTTAAATTTCACGCTCAAATCGTTCTTCTCGTCGAACGTTTGTAATAGCAGTGATCAATAATCCAAAGTGATTGAAATTTGATTACACGAAAATGAATTTGGTCATCGGCCCTCTAACGGTCTTCTAGCAAGTTTCACGCTTGCAGATGAATCGATCGATTCCGTTAAAGGGAGGAGGGTGTAGTTAGCGAGCAGACCTGGGTATGGTTGTGATAAGCGAAGGAAGATGTCGAACTCGTGGGTAACTAATTGACCGAAGTTGGCGCGTCTCCGCGGATTCACGAACGCCGATTACGACCCCCGGCGTCCTTATTAGGATTCCACTTGCATTTCCTGAAGCGTCGCCTCGAACCTCGTTATGGATACGCGAGAGGCGGCGTTGTACGATCGCTCGATCCGAGGCGCACGCGCGCCCGCGTTCACGCCGTGCCGTACACCTCTTCGTACAATCCGATCGGTATCGAGTTGGTCGTGATCCGCTCCGACGATTCGATGAATTTGCTTCGCATTTTTATTTTCCAACCGACATCTTCGAGACGCTTTTCGTCCATATACCCAATGACTCTTGGGATTTTTTAAGTGCCTCCAAAGGATGGCCTTTTGGATCATCCCCGTGTATCTCTTCTGGCTGTCGCTGGTCAGAGTTCTGATTATAAGTATCAAAGTTATTTGATTATCCGATAGCGTAATAAGCCGTATAAGCGGTAATTACGAGACGTAGACACTACAGACGTAGTTCATAACGTAAAGGTCCATCCGTCTTAAACCCTTCTATCCTAATGGCTTTCGTGTCGTCTTCTTTAGTACTCGTCTTGCAATTCATTTGCATTTCTATGTACTGGCTTCGAGCAGCAGTCGACGATGCATTGAAAAAACGTACGTTCTCTAGACTCTAAAAGCATTGTAGGGTTTTAGGTCTTGCGTCTATTGTGCCTAACCGATGAACGGGCGAAATCGGAGCCAAGGCCTTGCAATTCTTTTGCGAGAGTTGTTCAAATGGGGGATGACATTGCAACTGGTTCTTGCCGCGTCGCGTTCTCCGGTGCTGCCACCCCGCGGAATCCATCGACGTCAGTTGTCTGGCACAGGGCAAGAGGATCCGTGGTGGTGCGCGGAGTGAGTCGGCGTGATCACGGAACGGAAGGAAGAGACGGTGTTTGGACATTGGTGTAGACGGTACCGTACACGTTACCACGGTCTCCGCTTCCCACCTGGCCTTTTCCTCCCTCCTTACCGCCTATAATCCCGACCATTCGTTCTTTCCGTCTGTCAACCGTCCGTCTGACATTCACCGGAACAAGTAGAGTTCTCGGAGCTCGTTCGAATGAGGTTGCACGTGCGTGAATCGAACGCGAATAGGTGGTTTGGTTGTGGCGTAGGTGCGTCGGACGGTGGAAAGATAGTGGTGGGATCGGTCGCGCGCGTACACGAGCTTGAGGGTAGCCAAGGGCGACGGGGTTGCTTGCGGACCGCTGCAACGCTTCGCGGGTACTGTCAACGAGTGTGCCGCGTCTACAGGGTATCTGACGGCAACAGAAACTGGATCCTGTATAAAAGGCAGGCACCGGGAAGGAAGGAAGGAAGGAAGGAAGGAAGGAAGGAAGGAAGGAAGGAAGGAAGTAAGGAAGGAAGGAAGGAAGGAAGAAAGAAAGTCGACGAAAAGGTGGATCAAATTTGAAAGGTAGAAGGAAGACACCGAGGAGGAGAACGCAAGATATCGACAGAGAGATAAAGAGAGAGCAAGTGAAAGAGAAATAGATCTTTCACCTTGTCTTAGGTGAAGGAAAGAGAGAAAGAGAAGGGGAAAGAGAAAGAGTAAGAGTAAGAGTAAGAGAAAGGGGTAACGTAGTCGTGCGAGGCGGAGGAGCGATAAGCAGCGGCAGGAGCAGCCACGGAGGCAGAGCGAGAGACGTGGAGTGAACGGGCGATAATCGAGGATTTGAATGGGTGGGCCGGGAGCCGGTAGGGTTAGCAGGCACGAGCTGAACGCGGTGCCAAAGAGCCACGTCGGTCACGGGGATCGAACCCTCGTAATCGGCGAGCCAGCAGCACCGGCATCACCAGCATCGTCACAGGTCTGTCGGTGTCATTCGACATCGGAACGCGCGATCTCGGCATCCGGCCTCGTCCCCGCTCAGCTGCCGCCTTCGCCGCCGCCTCTCGCCTCTCTGCATATCGCCGTCGACACCAGCTGCGCTGCCTTCAGCAACAACAATACCACCGGGTCGCCGAACGCGGTCTCGGACGGCACCAAGACTGCTGCTACCATGTCCTCGCCGCCCAAGCATCGTAGGGGCTTCGACCCCAACGACGTAAACGCCAACGATTATCGCCGTTATCGTCGCGTTAAGACGAGACGGTGAGTCCTCTCCCATCTCTCTACGCTCTCTTCTTATCTTATCCGTCTGATCGGAACTACCTGTTCACCTTGCCGTTCACACCGGTTGATCTCTTACTGGCTCGAGTCACGCGACATCGGACTGCTTGCACACTGTACAATGTTGTACAGTTGTACAATATTGTCTCGGGACGGTTTGCACTATCGGGCACCGGTTGATTTTACCTGTAAGGATAAACAAAGAATGTTTAGTCGCGTGAACCGATACCTCTGTGAAAATTTAATTCGAAGATTCAGTTTCGGGTCTTGCTTGTTCCTAGCCAACCAATTGGAGTGTCTGGTCGGTATTTACTCTTTCTACTTGTATATACCGTCGGGTCGGTGTTTCGTGCGTGTTCTAACTATTTTTCAACTATTACAATTCTATTTCGCTTTCTTTGGACATACGTACGTACTCTTTTACATTTCGTTTAATGGACGGTCCGCACAAGTGGCCCTCGTTCCGTGATTCGACCAGTACATCTGTTACCCGCCTATACCTTGTTTTCATGTTCTGTCTCGTTACCCACTGCTGCAACCATCCAGCTACTCTCGTGTCCGCGAGTAGAGCGGCTCTATTTGATATTCGGATTTCATTCCGAGTGTTTCTTCGGACGTTGACCGTTGCCGAACGCGGCTGAATTTCTTTAATTACCGTTATCCAATAATTTAGACGGCTCTGCTCGCGTCGAATAGACGGAATATCCCGATTGCAAAGATTCGGCTGTGCTTAATCGATGTCCCGCCCTCGAGGATCGTGCGTATTTGGAAATACCTTCGTATCGCGCGCACGTGTATCCAATACAATAGTAAAGCTTCGCGGAAAATGCCACCGGGAAATACGTTTAAACGTCCTGCATTCTAGCGACTCGCGTATTTTCCCGACATATAATTTTCGTCAACACTCGTTCGACCGCCCGTAGCTCTAGTCCGCGTTTCGGAAATGATCTCGAGGGCGTCGAGCCGATCGCAAGGCGAATCTGAACGAAGCATGATCCCTGATCCCGAATCGTTCCTCCGGATGACGATGTCATCCAGCCTGACTCACGCAGCTTTCACTGACAGCGAATGCACAATGTTCACAGAGGCTTTGTATGTTCCACACCGTGATCTTGGGCGCCGGACACAGACCTCCCCGACATCTCCCGACATATATCTAACAGCACGAGGCATTAAAAAAAAAAAAAAAAAAAACCACACACACAAGCTTGCGATGTTCGATGTTGGATCGCTTACTGGTTGTGTTCCCGTCACGAAAAATGCGACGAAAGTCAGTCGAACGATGTCACACGGAATCGACTAAAGCGTATCGAACGAAATTCAAAAAACAAACCGGATGGCATTGTGTACAGGTGAAAAGAAGGCCGTACCTTTGCAGGTCTATGTTCCCGTTGCTTGGTCGGACCAACGAATGAGTCCTGAGCGAGCACTACCAGACAAATCGGATATGCCATTAGGAAATATAAACGAATAAATAAATAAAAGGAGAAAAAAGCGGAAATACGTAACGCGACCAGAATATTTGGTCTCATCGCTCTCCCGATGCTTTCGATCGGAGCTTGGAATGCGATGCAATTGAATGAAATGGAATGAAATGGAATGAAATGGAATGAAATGGAATGAAGAGCTTTGCACTTTGGACGATAAAGCTTTCACGCACTCCTCGATTCCCGTGACGTGGACCGGGTGAGGGACGATGCCCGTCCTCTTCACCCTCGCCTCGCGACGAATACCTCGAATGCTTTGTTCGATGTGTCGGCCTGACAGAAAATTACCTTCCGCCCTGAGAAACGTGCGAGGAAATCGAGATCGAAATCGAAGCTCGAAATCGAAGCGGCGGAAACACTCCGGAACCTGCCTTCTTCCCTTCATTTTTGCCCCTCCGTTCGCATCGAGAGAAACGTTTCGCGTAACCCTCACGACGCGGCGCGACGTCTCGATTCATCAAAGAATCGTGCTCCTAGAACCGGTAAGATAAATGGGGTAATTTCAATTTCGCGCATTCGACGAATGGCCGGACCTGTTCCGAAGGGCGCGGAAATGAGGAACACGTCAGCGCTCGCTCGATTTTCATAGAGGACGCGAAGGCAATTGGGAACTCGCGGAAAGAGACGGATTTTTTCTGTAGACAAATTAACTAAAATCAATCCTGGTTTTCCCTCGCGACTCCTGAAACTGGACTGCGAGTGCTTTTGCATTTCTAGTACGATACAGCGGAATGTACGAAATACAATAAATTACGAACATGAATAAAGGTAATGATGTTCGTCTCTTTATTAGGTTACTTTATATGTAGGTTAGTCTACTTAAATTCATAGATAGAATAAAACGGCGAATCGGGATAAATAAATAGACTACCTACTGCCAGGTAAGACGCATTTTTTCTCTCACTGCCCAGCAATGTTCTGCGTTTATGTGTGTTCCGAGTGATGGGTAGCGACACTGTCCCCCGAGTACGCAGTCCCGGGAAACATTGCATGCGTTTTTTTTCCCATCGAAATGTGCACGTCTGTTTCCAGCTGGATGATTTTCGTCGCGATCCAGCGTGGATTTGCGGAAAGGACGGAAATCAAGTGGAACAGAAAGTCGATGGTCTTTGTGTTAAAATATGCATTTTTGGTATCTTTGATGTAGACTTACTTAAAAGTTTTATTACTTCTGCAGCGAGGAAGAATTTTTGTCGTTACGGAAACGATTCAATCGATAGCGATGAAATATCATACGTCGAGATGAGTGCACCACACTGTCTTTCATTTTCTATTTCTGCACGTACACGCGTGGCCGATACAAGAATAGGATGACGGTACTTGGGATCAAGTGTCTCCAGTTGCACGATCGCTCAAGCGTTCTCATTGTCAGTCGGTTCAAGCGTTTGATAACTGGAACGTCGATAAATTTAAATAAATCATATCTTTTGGTCGAACAAATTTAAGTTACGAGGTACCTATTTATTCTGGTACAGTTAACATACGAAAAATTGCGTTCGTTGGATGTCCTATAATAATCAATAGTCATTAAACGTAATTATAGGATCTATTTAAAATCGGTAAGATATTTGTCTGTTCCGAGCTGGAGTAACTTGGTCAAGATAGAACGATCACCTTTCACAAAGATCTAACACATCTGTAAAATTGATATGGTTATTTAAATCTCTGAGTATCGAGAGACATCATCGATCTGTGTTAGAAATACATTTTCCGAAGCTTTATCTGTGATCTAAATTACCATATCTAGAGCGATTGTCCGCAGTATTAATACCGATTTCTAAGGCGTCTTACCCACGATAGCGGAACCAAATATTATTGTAATATAGGAACAATAGTTGTAAATTTATTTTCCCGATGGTTACCGATTCAAGTTACGATACTCATAGTATTGAAAATTTCACAATTACACATATGATCGTTTATCCGATGTGTTACAATCGATCCTGGCGTCACTGGTCACCAATGACACACCGGCAACGACAACGTCAATGGACGTGTTAACGACCTAGCTCGCGAAAGACAATCATGTAGCTCGATAAATCGAAACTGAACAGAGATTACTTGACAATGTAAGCGACGGATGACGACTTCAGCGTTCTCCGATTTAATAATTATTACATACACGTCGCGAGGGAACAAAGTGGAACAACGGATAGGCTATATTTACCTGGTGCGACAGCGGCTCGCGATTCATGGCGATCTGCTCTATGTGTGTGGCCGACTTTTCATATAATAGTAAAGTAGAAAGGAGTGTAGCTTCTTTTTGCCGAGATTTAATTTGCTCCTTTTGCCCGAGATTGAATTTACGACGTCAGCGTCGGTTGGTCGGCCGACCGTCGTTGCCGGGCGCAAAAGCCGACGACGAAGGGGACGAAATGTGGACGATAGCGAGGAGAAAATTCTGAATCCGCTCGAAAGTGGAACGCTTTCGTGGATATATCTGGTTTACGCGTTATCAAGCACCGAGGGAGTTCCTCGAGATCGCCGGCTGCCATTTATTTGCGCCGCCTTTGTGCCGTTTCCGCAAAGAAATATGTCCCCGTAACAATTTTGTGTTGAAAACGTGGAACGCTAATTACTGAAAACCGGCTGTATTCGCTGACGGTGCTTTTATCGAAGAACAGGTACGATTAATGGGATTTCTTGCGAAGTTCACTTCTGTAAATAATGAAATTCTTCTCGTCGAGCTTGATCACGCGAAATATGAAACGATTCGAGGTTGCAAATGTTTGTATTAGAATTTAGAATAGGCTGGAATTTGTAGAAGGATTGTCATTTGAAACGATTGATCATCGAAGCAGTTGAAATGGGACAGACTACTCGTTTCACAGAGTCTTCGGTCGTTTCTGTAAATTCCGTTACGCGTTTCTGCAGCTGTCGATCGCAATTGGCCGCGAGTAGGTGCTAATTTCCCGTCAAGGCGAGACATGAACGATAGTGAAACCCTAATTCAGCGTTACGTAAGCATATTTCCCACAAGCCCATTTTTTAACGTGATACTTCATTCAGCCGTGGTATTTCTTCTCAGTGGTTACAAGCTTTCTGAAGCCTTTTAAGCGTTTGTAGTGTAAACCGTTGCCTTCAGTCAACCTCGTCGCTGCACACCGCTGTCCCCTTTCCTTCTTTGCTTTCCGATTATTCTCCATTTCCTATGTTTATTTTGTACGTTTATTTCGTTATTATTATTTGTGTCAATCTGAATTACGGCAACTAATATTTTACGCGACTGTGTTCGATCTCTCTCTCTCTTTCTCTCTCTCTCTGTCTCTCAGTAGATAACACCTTTTCTTCAAAAACCTTCCAGTTTATAGTGAAAACATTTGTAAAAGGAACAGCAGAACATTCCGGCAAAACTATTCCAAAGTAATGGCAAAATAGGAATTGTCTCGAAGGATGATACACATATTTGAAGATTGGCTAATATGTAGTAACCGAAAAATTGAATCGATATATTGTATATTCCATTTAGATCCCAAGTAGAGAGAAAATGATGAT